CCAGAAGTTGGAGGGGGAGGGGGTCCTCCTCCCTCCTCCTCCTCCTCCTCCTCCTCCTCCTCCTCCTCCTCCTCCTCCTCCTCCTCCTCTCCTCCTCCTCCTCCTCCTCCTCCTCCTCCTCCTCCTCCTCCTCCTCCTCCTCCTCCTCCTCCCCACCTGTCTTGGAGCGCGTCCTGGCCTGGATTTCAAGGCGCCATGGCAAAAAGGCCACCCAGGAGGCCTGGTAAAGCACCAGACGTTTCTGTTCGCGGCCCCCGAGGTCCAGGCAGCCGCCTCTCTGTGCCCTGGACCCCCGACCTCCGACGTCGTCTTTTTGCAGGTCCCCGTAAGCACCGACGGCACGGCACGCGGACAGGCCACGACGAGGCACCGCACTCGGGCACGGCGCGGCACAGCAGGGCACGGCAGCCTTCTCGCCCTCCAGAGACCAGGCACGGCACGGCTCCTGGGCACGGCATGGCACGGCGCCCTGCTCGCAGTCCACAGACCTGGCACTGCATGGCACGGCACGGCACGGCACGACACGCGGGCACAGCACGGCACGGCACGCGGGCACGGCACGGCATGGCACGGCACGGCACGGCAACCTGTCCGCAGCCCAGAAACTAGGCAGGGCACGGCACGCGAGCAGAGCGCAACACGGCACGGCACGCGGGCAAGGCACGGCACGGCACTGCACGTGGGCGGCAACTTGTTCGCGCTCTGGGTGCCCAAGATGCTCTCCTTAGAACAATTGCGACACGTGACAGCATTCGCTGCCTGGGGGAGAGACAACACTACCATGACCAAGCCTTCGATTCTCGGTCGGGCGGGTGGGGCGGCGGGGTCGCCCGTGGGATGGTGGAAGTAGTAGACGCCGTGCTCGTCCTCACACACGGACCAGTCCCCGAGTTCCTCGAGCACTTTCGGGGCCTGGTTCTCGAGTACGTTCGTCTGCTGCTGCTGCTGCGAAGGGGAGGAGGCGGGGGGGGTGAGGAGGAAGGCAAGGAGGACAAAGTGGACAAGGAGGATGAGAAGGACCAGGAGGGCGAGAAGGACGAGGCGGGAATTGAAGAAGAGGAGGAGGAGGGAGGGAGGAGGGGGGGAAGAGGAGGAGAGGGGAGAGAGAGAGAGAGAGAGGGGGGGGAGGGAGGGGTAGAGAATGAAACACGAGTTTTGACAAGTGAAACCTGGATACATGGATTGCAGTCGTGGCGCGAGACAACCTGTTGATAGCGGTTTAGTCTATCTCTCTGTCTGCTGAGGGTGTGGAGGGGGAGCAGACGCTGAGTTCGTCCTCCTCCTCTGGCAGTGCTGGAATCCCGGCCAGGCGGTATCCCTCCTCAAGGGTGTACCCCAGGCTGAGTCGACGCAGGAAGCGAGTCAGGTGAATCGCCTCCCGAACAGGGATCGTGAGGGGGGCCCTCCGGCGCCACGGATGCACCAGGCCCGGCCGCGCCGCCACCAGCAAGGCACGCACGGAGGCAAGGAAGCGAGCACGGGCACGACGCGTTGCCGCAGCTGTGCCAATGCTCCTATTGCCCCGGGGCGTACTTTTGTTTTTCTGGCGCGCGCCCATGGTTCTTGAGCCAAACGGGTACGGACCCTCATCCGTCCCGCGGCTTGCCAACCGAACGACTGGCAAATGCAGCTCCTAGGCTCAGCTGTGTGGCTGCTGGCCCTCCCAGACGCGTCACCGCAGCCGGGGAGGGCCAACTAATGACTATGTTGTCCCGGCCGCGTGGCCGATGAACGTTTGGAGGGCCAGGTTTGGCCCAGGAGTTTCGGCCACGCTCGCAGGACACGGTTTGTGCCCGCGGAGACAATAAATCGCACCCGGAGTAAGCTTAACAGACGTGATTCACAGGAGCTAACCTACACGTGCTTCTACCACAAAGTTAAATCTTACAAGTGCAACTCGCGAAGCGAGCTTGAATATATACTATAAGTTGTGGAGAACAGAATGACAAATTGCCCCCAGAATGCTCTCGGCAAGTTCGCGCTGCAGTGAGCCGGCGTGCCGGCAACTTGTCGCACCAGCCTTTACACTGCTCGCACCAGCTCTCTGCTCGCACCGGCAACTTCTCTTCTCGCACGGGCATCGCTTCTTCTCGCACGGGCATCTCTTTGGCAGCCACGGAAGCGCTCACTGATAGCCACAGGCATGGCGTCTGAGGAAAATGAGAAGTATACCCCCGAAGTGGCGACACGCCGGCGTCCACCCAGCTAGCGTGGACATTAGAAATATACAAATAATCATTACACGAAAATGCAATGCCGCGGGACCCTGCGAAAAACGACCCCTTTTGGCTGAAATGGGTCGTTTTCTCCGGCGGCACACATTCGTGAGGCGTGACCCCAAGGCGGCCCATCCCCGAGACATTAGCTAACAAAGGCGTGATAAACTTGGCATGTTACATACGTGGCGAAGGCGGATACTCGGGAAAAATACAAGGACGTGTGGCAGTTTTTCCACACCCCCCTCGCCGAGCAGCGTGTGAGAACATTCAGAATGTCTGGCGACAAGGCCTCAAGGCCTGGTGCGGATCATGCCCATGAGGTCGCGGGCCTCCATGAACCTTGCCGGGGACATGGCCTTCGTGAAGCCGTCGCCCCGGTGCGTCGCGGTGGGCGCGTGCTTGAGGATCATCGCGCCGCGCTCCACCACAAGCTCGTGCAAGAACCCGATGGACACCTTGTGGGTTCTCTCTAAGAACTTCAGTTTCTTGCTGTAGCCCTTAGTGACCGCAGAGATGGCCTGCGTGTTGTCCACGAGCGCCACCAGCGGGATGTCGATGCCAAGCATCCGCTCGAGGAGCATCTGCGTGGGAATGCCCTCGTGCTTGGTGTTGTGGCTGAGAGCCACCGTCTCCGCTTCGGCTGTCGAGCCGGCCGTGGACGTCTGCTTGCGAACAGCCCACGAAAGCGGCCAGCGCCGACCGGAAGTCGGGCTGTGAAGTTCCACCAGGACGCCGCCTGTAGACTTCGTGTGCTCTGAGTCGCCAGCCCAGTCGGCGTCCGACCACATCAGGAGCTCCAGGTCGAAGATGTCATCGGGGGCCATCTCGGCGGCGAGGGCCATGGGGCCAGCGGCCTTCAGGTAGGCGTACAAGCGAACCAGTGCTGCGTCGTGGGTTGTGCTCCACCTTGACACCACCGAACAGAGGCGCTGCACGGCGACGGCGATGTCTGGCCGTGCGACCCGGGACAAAAACAGCAACGTCGCAACGTGCGAGGCGCAGCTGCCGGCGAAAACGCCGGGGCGCACGCCGTCTTCAGCCCACTGCTCCGGCGAGAGAAACGGCGACGTCACCTTGCGGAGCTCACCCCCGTACTCGCTAGCGAACCTGGCGAGGGCGTTGGCCACATAGTCGTCCATGTCCGTGTGGAGCCGACGAGCGGCCGACGGGCAGGCAGGGTTGACCGGGTCCATGGTGTAGCGGGCCCCCAAGTACCTCTCGATCTCCTGCTCCCGCTCCTTGAACACGATCGCCGTGTCGAGCGCCCTCCAAAATGGCCCGGCGATGCTCGGCGGAGCGATCATGAGCATGTCGTCCACGTACACGACGAAAATGCCTCCATCAGGGTGCACATGAACTCCAGGATGGTCGAGGCCAGCGGGCTCCCAGCCATGCTGCTTGAGAATGCTGTTCAACTTGGCTTCCCACAGCGCCCCGGCCTCGGGGTGGCCATACAGAGCCTTCTTGAGCCGGCAATGAGGCCGGACATACTTAGGTCTCTGGCGTGCTGCGCCGTCCAAGAACCAACTGTCTGGCCACCACTCCCGTGGGAGCTCGACGTAGGTGGGGATCCGGAACGGAGTGTCGATCAGAGCCTGGAGGTATGCAGCCTCCGCGTCCCTCAGGCTGACCTCCCGGCCGGTGAGGGCCGCGGCCGCCAGGGCAGCGCGTGCCGCGGCGAAGGATGCCGGAGCATTGGCAACTTCTTCGAACAGGTCTGCAGCCGACACGCCCGACTTAGTTCGGATGTTGGATCCTTGAAATACCACTCTAGCCTTCCATTGCTGGGCATCTTTTCCAAGCTCTTCTCCTTTTATCCCCAGAATTGCAAACACCCGGCCCAGCATGGCGTCAGAAAGGGACTCGTCGTTCAGAAGGTCCCGCAAACTGTGAACATCGCTGGTGTCCCAGACCTGCTTGGAGCGCATCCCGTGCAGCTCCTTCTCCAACGCCTTGCGGGCACCGTCGCAATCTGCCTCGGACGATTTGGGCTTGACCACCCGTGTCACGAGGGCGCACCACAGAGGGTGGCGCGGCGGGCCAGCATCATGCTCACGATGCTCGTGGTGCGGGTCGTCGTCACTGTCGTCGATGGCGGATGTGCTTTTGAAGAATGCCCGGGACCGCGGGACGCCAGGAGCAGCAGGTAAAATGCCTGCACGGCGAGCGCTCCAGAAGAGACGTGCGAACTGCTCCGTGTACTGGGCGGTCTGCTTCGCAATGTTCCCGCGGCAGCGGACGAACTCCTTGCTGTCGGCAGCTTCGTCGACGGAATAATTCTCGAAAGTCATCGTAACGGAGTCGTCCGTGGAGCACAGCGTCCACTCCTTCTGGGTGTACACCACGCGGCCTGCATGCTGATGCTGCTGGCCGACGGCGGAGGCCGATACCTTCACGAACTTGCCGCCGACGGTGTTGATCAGCTGGTGCACGCGGTCGTTCGACCACAGGTCGGAGTTTGTAGGCCACTCCCAGGTGACGTCCTGGCCCTTGTCACGAGCGTAGGTGCACACCTTCGCGACATTGGTGATCAAGGCCCGCGTCACCGCCATGGGGACGGCTGTCCAGATCATGGTCCTCAGTTTCTTACGGGCCGCCCTCTTCAAGATGTCTTGAACAGCTCGGAGGGTCTTCTCGGCGGAAAGGTCAAGCTGCTCGGTCACGCGGATGGCGATGCACCTGGCCGGGACGAAGGCGGACAGGCAAGACTCCGGAGAGCAGCACAGCTCGACGAGCATCTGGTTGTACTTGCCGCTCATGATGGCTGGCATCGCTGCGGCGATGATCTCAGGCACCGTGGGCGCCTGTATGACGAGGCCAGCCGGCGCTGCTGGAGCTGCAGGTCCTGCGGCGCGGCCGGAAGCCACGCGGGCATCGCTGGAAGGAGCATGGGCGTGCTGCCCGCCAGCTGCGGCCGAGCCTCGGTGCCAAGTATGCCGAGGCGGCTCGTAGTACACCTCGTGCGGGGTGCCCGAGAAGGCAGAGCACGCGAGGCGAGGCATCGATGGGACGGCCGTCGCGACCTTGCCCTTCGCCTTCAGGTTTTGATAGTCCTCGCGCCTCTTCTCCTGAGCTGCGAACCCTGCGGGGTCAGCAGCCTTCCACTTGTCACGCTGCGCCTGCCTGTGCTTCATGGTCAGGGAGAGCCACACCTCTGGCTCGAGCGTAGGCGGACGAGTGGACCACGGTGGCACCCACACCGAACGCCTGATGTGGCCGTCGGCGCCAAAGTCGTCTCGCCTCCAGCCGCTCGGCGGCGAGCGCCCGGGTCCAGGCTTGATCTCCCGCTGCACGACGGGGTCGGCGTCGACGCCGAGCCGCGCAGTTTCGGCAACGTCGGGCTCGACCGCAGCATGACCAGAATGAGGATCGTCGGCGCCTGCGTCTCCATCGCCGGCTTGGCCCACGACGTCCAGGCCCTCCTGGGAGTCAGGATCGATGGCCAAGGCGACGTCGAGCATCGAAGCCCTCGTCGAAGAGAACTGGGGGCTGTTCTCCTTCAGCATCCCGTCGTACGCAAGCACGTCCTCCTCGCAAGGCTCGTCGGCGATGAGCTCATAGCCCCCCTCGGCGTCGTCGTTGGTGTGCGGCGCCGGCAGGCTGAGGTCACGGAATGCGCCGTTGAACGCCAGGCGCTGCGCTAGAGGGAACGTCACCTTCGACGGGAAGACGACGTCGGCGACGGTGCGGACGCTGACTCTAGAGGCCCGGCCGTCGGCCAGGATGGCCGCGAGCGGGACGATCAAGTAACTCTTGGCCCACTGCTCGGCCGGGCCGGCCGCTTCGCCGACCAGAAGTGCAGGCACCAGTCGGTTCTTCCATTTGCTGGAGCTGCAGGGGTCGCCCTCCAGCTTCGGGAGCTTGGAGCCGGCTGGCGGCCGGAAGAGGACGAGGGCGCCGAACGGGTAGATGACGAAGGGAGCTGGCTCCCCAAAGCGGCGTTGCCACCGGGTGAGGCCGGCCTTGTTCTTGACGCTGCCGTTGTAGTTTGCCGCCCAGTGCCGCTCGGCGAGAGGCCACCAGCGCTCGCTGAGGCCGGACTGGTGGAGGGAACATCGCGTGCCCTCGATCGCCACCCGATTCATGCGCTCGATCTTGCCGTTGGCTTCAGCCCGGCGCGGTGTCGAACCTCCGAATCTTCGGCGGGGCGGAGTCGAAGGAGCCCACGCTGTTGAGCACTGTGTCGGTGTCCCGGCGGCGCGCCGGGTACGGCGAGAAGAACTCCGTGGACTCGTCCAGGATGTGCAGGCTGTAGGCCGATGCCTTCCTCGCCTCAGATCCGTGCTCCATTTCGATGTGGTCCATGTGCACAAGGGCCCCGAAGGACTCGACGGAAGCGTCCGGTGCATGAAGCTCCACAGCTGGAGCGGGGCGGCGCGAGCTGCGGCTCTTCGCCGTCTTCCCGAAGTCGCACCCCGCGCAGACGCCGGGCGGGCATTTCGGCAGGTGCGTGGCCAGGTGGAGGATGGACTGCGGGTCGTTATGGATCGATGCGTCGATCACCACGTCGTCCTCGCAGACACCGCACTTCAGCGGGATCCCGTCCCAGTCAATCTCCGCGTCGTGCTCGGTCGGATCGCCCTCGAGCACGCGTTCGAAGTCTTGCAGCGCCTTGTCTGGGCCACCAGCGCTGGCAGCAGGCGCAATTGTCGAGGGCGGCGCTGGCGGCGCCTCCCCAGGATCGGCAGCGGCATCCAAGGCAACAACATTGGCTGAGGCCTGCTGGTCGGAGTGCGCACTGAGGGGCCCCCCTGCGGGAGGGGCCACATGGTCGGCCGCTGCGGCGGCCTGGGCTGCGGCGTGGGTTGCCCCATTCGCCGCTCCAGCGACCTCCGCTGCGGCGGGGGCTGCGTGGTCAGCCTCTGCGGAGGCCATGGCAGGCATGCATCGCACCTGTCGGCGAGCGCCGGCCGGCTGGCTGGGGCGGCCGCCCCCCACCATCGGGACGAAGTTCTCCACGCGGACGTCGACCTGCGAGCCCTCAGGCGCGTAGAACCCGGGCTTGTCAGCGAACGGCTCCCACACGAAGCGGTAGCCATGCTGGGCGCAGCGGCGCCCGAGCGAGAGCGCCGGAATGGTATCTGGCAGCTCGATGGCCTCGGCATCCTCGTTCAGCGCCTCCAGGCCCACAGTCACGGTGGTCTCGGGCGCGATCACGCCGTTCGCCGTGCTCAGGAAGCAAAGGTCGTCGCGCTGGCGGCGGACGCCTTGGGTCCCTACGGGGACCAGGTCATTGCCAGTGCCGGAGTCCAAAGCGAACTCGTCAAGGTCGTCGCTGGGGCCACCAGTGGCCGGGGCGGCGCGGCAGACGGCGCCCGGCACTTTGGCCTTGCCAGGGCCAACGTGCTTGAACGCGCAGTTCTCGCCATTGGTGCACTCGCCCTTGGGCCAGAAGCGGCACGCTGGCCGGTCATCTGGCTTGGCCGCGGCAGCGGCGGGGGAGGTGGCGGCGGCCGCCGCTTTCGCCTTCGCCTGCGCCTTGGCCTTAGCCTTAGCTTTGGCTGCGGCCTCAGCTTTGGCCTTGGCCTTGGCTTTCGCCGCGGCGGCACCTGGCGCAGAGGCGGCCCCGACGCGCTCGAACTTGCAATTCGCACCGAAGCGGCACGAACCATCCCGAGCAAACATCTGGCAGATCTCACCGGAGCGGACCTGCGGCGTCGCTTGCGCCTTGGCCTTCGCAGCAGCGGTGGCTGCGGCTGCGGCTGCGGCGGCCTTGGCGGGGGCGGCCTTCTGAGGCAGCTTCATCAAGTCGTCCCGCACTTGCCCGCGCTGACGCCGCACGATCTCCCGCCGCGCGGCGTTGTAGAGGAAGGCGGAGGTGCGGGTCGCGGTGCCCTCCTCGGCGGCATCATAGGTCACGAAAGCGGGCTCCAACCCCTTGCACTTCCGGAGCTGGCACTCGAGGAGCGAGCACAGCATGTCTTCGTCCGGCACCTTGGCCAAGGCCATCAAGGCGTAGTCCCAGGCATTCAAGAAGCCCTCGAGGTCCCCTCCGAACCGGAGGCCCACCAAGGTGGTGAGGTCGACGCTCATCGCCTGGCCGCGCTCGATTGTGTACCTGTAATACACCATGTACAGCGCGCAGCGGCCGGAGAGCGGCAAGCCCATCCTCGACCGCTCCTCGCGGTAGATCAGCAGCTCACGCTTCAAGTTGCTGTCGGCGATGGCCAAGACGGCCTCGGCGAGCGCGGAGTCGAGATCGCCCCACCTCTTCTGCTTCTCCGCCAACGCCTCGAGCTCCGAGATGTCGTTGACGGTCTCGATGCGCTGCATCCACCGCATTGTGCGGCGCTTGCTGCGCTTGCTCGCTGCGTTCACCTTCACGTAGGTGTCCTGCACCCACTCCCGAAGGCCCACGGCAGAGGGCAGCGGGTCCAATGTCAAGGACTTCACCGCTCCCTTCCGCCGGCGGATGTCGTCCTCAGTCGAACTCGACGAGCTCGAGGGTGACCTCTTACTCTTTCTGCTCTTCCGGCTGCGGCGCGCGCCGGAGGCCCCAGGCGTGCTAGGCGGCGAGTCGTCGCCGCCAGCGCCGTCGTCACCGCCAGGGCGGCGAGGGCCCCGAAGCCCAGGAGGGAGGTCAGGCTGAGCTGCGGGGGCCTGCGCTGCGGACGGGCGCTGCTGCAACTGGGTCGGGAGCCTCTGGACTGGCTCGGACCGCACGCTGCCACCGGCGCCAAGGCGGTCTGGCGGGCCGCCTCCGCCGGGGGCGCCGGCGGCCGCGATGTGAGCCCTCATGGTGACCCCGGCCCCATGGCCAGGGAGCACGCCGCGATTCGGGCCAGGGCGCGGCTGCGCGTGCGGCGCTGGCGCCGGCTCGGACGCGGCCGCCGCGCCCGGCTGTGGCGCGGCCAACGGCCGCGAGGGCGTGGCCATGTGGAAGTGCTGCGGCTGCGTGAGGACGCCGTCCGCAGAGACGAAACGCCCTGTCAGGCGGTCAGGCTGCGGTTGCAGCGGCGGCGGAGGAGGCTGGGAGAGCACTGGATCGTGCTGCGGCGGCTGCACCCGCCGCTCCTCGGCCACCGATGCGATGTGTTTCCAATTCTCGACCTCCTGCTCGAGGATGTCAACACGCTGCTGCAGCGCGGTCTGCACCTCGAGCTGCTCGCCGCGCTGCGCCTCAGCCGTGGCTGCGAGGTCATTGGCCCATTGCTGGGCTCGGTCTCTGAATGCATGCACGCGCTGCTCGGACTCGGTGAGCCGAGAATGGAGCACCGTGACCTGCGCCTCCAGCCCTGCCGCGCGGTCGGCCCGGAGTTTCGTCTGCTCCTGCTGGGCCTCCAGATTGGCAATCTGGGCTTCGTATTGGCGAAGCTGCAGCCTTGTGCGGCCCTCGAAGCCGACGAACGCCTGCTGTGTGGAGGACTCGAGCTGCGCCGCTGCGGCGGCGCGCTGCTGAGCCTCAGCGGCCTGCGCCTGCGACTGCTGCTCTGCCCTGGAAGCCGCGGCCTCCAGTTCGCCCGCGGCGGCCAGGCGCGAGGAAGCCGTGGAGACCACTGCGCTGAGCTCCACGCGCTGCGCCTCGAGGTTCCGGAGCGCCTGAGCATGGATCGCATCGCACTCCTCGCGGCGCCTTTGGTCAGCAGCGGCGTATGCAGCAGACTCCGCGGCCAGGATGCCGGCAAGCTGCTGGCGGTCCGTCGCCGCCATCTGCTGCTCTGCCGCACGGAGCTCGCGCGAGCTCACCGCAAGTCTCTCGTGGCACTCGTGTTGGGCCGCGGCTGTCGCCTCGTCCAACCGGCGCTGCATGAGCCCGCGCTCGGACCGGAGGTCTGCGTGAGCCTGGGCGCTGAGAGCCTCCGTGCGTTCCAGAAGAGCCACCTCCAGACGCTCAGTCAACGCTGTTTCTTTCGCCTGGAACTCAGACTCGAGGATCGCCGTCTGGGTCTCGAGCGCCGCATGCTGGTCAATGATGCGGCTGAGCTCGCCGGTGAGGTCGAGCCCTACAGCGCTGGGTTCCTCATCATCCGCGCCAGCGTACAGCAGCGTGCGGCTGCGGTCCGCCCGCGACGCATCAGCGACGGGCACAGCGGCCGAAGGCGTAGGCGCGGCCTGCGACGAGGCACCGCGACCGGATCTGCCTTCCACACCGCGGCCGCGGAAGGGCAAGACAGGCCGATGCGCCGGCCGCGGGCGAGGCGGCGGCATGCCGGCCGCAGCCTCCGCGAAAACTGCGGGGAGCACCAGGCCGAGGTCCTCGTCCGCAGCATCGGCGAGCGGGATCATCTCGCCAAGGTTGTTGGGATTTCCAGTCGCCATGGTCTCAAAGAGCTTTCGGCTGATAACCTGTTGATAGCGGTTTAGTCTATCTCTCTGTCTGCTGAGGGTGTGGAGGGGGAGCAGACGCTGAGTTCGTCCTCCTCCTCTGGCAGTGCTGGAATCCCGGCCAGGCGGTATCCCTCCTCACGGGTGTACCCCAGGCTGAGTCGACGCAGGAAGCGAGTCAGGTGAATCGCCTCCCGAACAGGGATCGTGAGGGGGGCCCTCCGGCGCCACGGATGCACCAGGCCCGGCCGCGCCGCCACCAGCAAGGCACGCACGGAGGCAAGGAAGCGAGCACGGGCACGACGCGTTGCCGCAGCTGTGCCAATGCTCCTATTGCCCCGGGGCGTACTTTTGTTTTTCTGGCGCGCGCCCATGGTTCTTGAGCCAAACGGGTACGGACCCTCATCCGTCCCGCGGCTTGCCAACCGAACGACTGGCAAATGCAGCTCCTAGGCTCAGCTGTGTGGCTGCTGGCCCTCCCAGACGCGTCACCGCAGCCGGGGAGGGCCAACTAATGACTATGTTGTCCCGGCCGCGTGGCCGATGAACGTTTGGAGGGCCAGGTTTGGCCCAGGAGTTTCGGCCACGCTCGCAGGACACGGTTTGTGCCCGCGGAGACAATAAATCGCACCCGGAGTCAGCTTAACAGACGTGATTCACAGGAGCTAACCTACACGTGCTTCTACCACAAAGTTAAATCTTACAAGTGCAACTCGCGAAGCGAGCTTGAATATATACTATAAGTTGTGGAGAACAGAATGACAAATTGCCCCCAGAATGCTCTCGGCAAGTTCGCGCTGCAGTGAGCCGGCGTGCCGGCAACTTGTCGCACCAGCCTTTACACTGCTCGCACCAGCTCTCTGCTCGCACCGGCAACTTCTCTTCTCGCACGGGCATCGCTTCTTCTCGCACGGGCATCTCTTTGGCAGCCACGGAAGCGCTCACTGATAGCCACAGGCATGGCGTCTGAGGAAAATGAGAAGTATACCCCCGAAGTGGCGACACGCCGGCGTCCACCCAGCTAGCGTGGACATTAGAAGTATACAAATAATCATTACACGAAAATGCAATGCCGCGGGACCCTGCGAAAAACGACCCCTTTTGGCTGAAATGGGTCGTTTTCTCCGGCGGCACACATTCGTGAGGCGTGACCCCAAGGCGGCCCATCCCCGAGACATTAGCTAACAAAGGCGTGATAAACTTGGCATGTTACATACGTGGCGAAGGCGGATACTCGGGAAAAATACAAGGACGTGTGGCAGTTTTTCCACAACAACCCGCGATGAACCAAATCGGTCGTTGCCTCAGTGGGCGTATCATCCACTGCTCCAAACAATGCGGCAGGCACCCCCGCGTTCCACCGAATCGCGTGTTGCCTCACAGGGTGGACCATCACGCCATTGGCTTCCCCAGACAGCCCGCACAATCAGCCCAATCGTCTATCATGGGTGTACCACTTGGCCAAATGTGGCACCATAATTTGCTCCAGAACTCTGCAATCAACCGAATCATCGGTTGCCTCAGTAGCTGCACTATGTCGCCAAAGGTTGCACTACACTCGACACTCCACAACCGTCCAAATCGCTCGTTGCCTCAATGGGTGTGCCATTCCTGGGTATGTTTTTGATGGCCCTCCATTCCCTCCTGGATCCACTCTTGACGGCCCGCTGGGACCCGAGAACGCCCCGCCGCCCCCCCAGATGCCGAGGTGGAAGAAGCAACAGCGGGGTGAGAAGGTCGTCGATCCGCCCGAAATCTGTCGGGTAGGACAAAAGGAGGGAGGCAAGAGAAGGTCAGCGAATCAGCGCACATGGCTGCTTTTCCAAGCGCATCTTGACGCCGCAGGCACTGGTGCATCGAGGAGAGCGCCCGCCCCGCTGGGGCCGAGACCTGCTGCATGCGACAAGTTTCGAACCCCCCCTTTCGTTATTCTCCCTTTTCTCAATGGACCCTGGGACACGCCATGGCTCTTGCACAAAAAAAGGGGGAGGAGGAGGAAGTGGAGGAGGAGGGGGGACGAGGGGGCAAGACATCGCCCCTCGGGGCCCAGCAACGGGGCCCAAATCCCAGGCGGGGAGGGGGGAGGGGGGGAGGTGGCGTGCGTCGCGACGCGGAATAAAGTGCTCGGAGCGGAGGGGGCACGGGGCGGAGGTCCCACTGGGGCACTGGGGGCGCGGAGAGGAGGGGGGGGAGGTGGTGTGCGTCGCGACGCGGAATAAAATGGTCGGGGCGGAGGGGGCACTGGGCGGGGCTTGGGGCAGAGGGCAACGGGGCGGGGGTCCAACTGGGGCGACGCGGAATAAAGCGTTCGTGGCGGAGGGGGCAGTGGGCGGGGCTCCCGCTGGGGCGCTGGGGACGCGGGGGGGGCTCGGGGCAGAGAGCCACGGCGCGGGGGTCCCACTCTGGCGCTGGGGACGCGGGGAAGGGGGGGCGGTGCACGCGGAATAAAGCGTTCGTGGCGGAGGGAGCAGTGGGCGGGGCTCCCGCTGGGGCGCTGGGACGCGGGGGGGCTCGGGGCAGAGAGCCACGGCGCAGGGGTCCCACTCTGGCGTTGGGGACGCGGGGAGGGGGGAGGGGGGGAGGGTGGGGGGGGGGGGGGACGCGGAATAACGTGGTCGGAGCTCTAGACGCCCTGCGCAAGAGAATAAAAGCACACAAATCCCAGGATTCCCCATATCTGCCTATATTTTTTTGGTGTTCGTTTTCCCCCCCGCTTCCCGTATTTTCCAATATTTTCCTCGGGATCGATGATTACTTGTGTCGGTGTGTTTTTCCCCTCCTGATTTTCGCACGGTGCGATGACACACCGTGCGGTGACCTCGAACCCCCCGGAGGCCTCTCAGAGCGGTGCGTCGCCGCACAGGCTTTGGGACCCTAGAAGCCCCAGTCGCCCGAGAGACGTCCTCGGAGACTGGCCCAAGTCCCACAACCCCACGGTCACCCCAAATCCCCACTGGCTCACCACACGGTGCGGTCATGGCATGAGGTCGGGCATGTCCCCCTACAGGGGTATTTAGGACAAAACATAAAAAAAAACTCAAAAAGTATTCTAAAGATAGTACATGAAATATACAAAACATCGTCGCCTGACTATGCTTTATCATTTCTAGTAAAAAATCCCCCTGTAGAAGGACAGGCCCGATTTAATCATGGCATCGTCTGGGGGCCCCCGATGTTCGTCCGACCCGAAGGCCATACCCCCCCCCTCCCTCGTCCGACCCAAACCTGGTGGCAGTCGGATCATCAACTCGGGCCTCTGGCGGCCGATGGGGACGATCCGAGCACCCCTGAAGGCTCTATGTTTGAAGCCGGCGGCGCAAGAGGATCCTCAGGCGCGGACGGCAGACGGAAGAGGCAATTGCGATCGAGCGCTGTCGGAGGCACAGTGCGCAGTCCGTGCACACTGTCAGATGCAGCGATGCGGGTACAGAAGAGCTGCAAATCCCCGTCCCCTTGCCCCCCCCTTTTCCCCGTGCCCCCCCCCCTCCCCCCAAGATGCCCAGGACGACTCTCCACCTCACAACGAATGCGACAAGCTTCCATGTAGGGCTCTCTGACGTCCAAGCGAACCCTACAGGAGAACCGAGGAGGCACACACAGCTCGAGTGGAGAGCTCCGGCGAGGCGCAGCTGCTGGAGAGCAGCCCGAGGCCCAGCAAGCCGCCGCGCGCCGACGAGAAAAAACGCAGGCCTCGACCTCTCCTTCGGGGGCCCGCCAGGGGGTGCTCGCGCCTCCGGCCTACCCCCCCCAGAGGCCGGCGAGACGGGCCGCGGATGGCGAATCCGCACCGTCCTGGGCCGGGGGGAGCCCTCGGGCCCCTGCGGCCATCGGTGGGCGATGGGGGGTCGATGCATCCTTCCCTCCTCCCCCCCCCCCCCTGGACGCATGACGACACACCCGCAGCCCAATGTTTCTTCGCGGCCATAGCGGGCGTTGTGTGGGGGGGGGGTAGGGCGGGGACGGGAGAGGGCACAACGCAGCGCCCCACCCCAACCCCCCCAAGCCTGTGGTGCCAGACGCACTGCGGTAGTGCCGTGGACGCACTGGGGGGGAGCGTTAGGTTATGGGGGGTCAGGGGGGGGAGGGTAGGGGGCATAGCGCGCGTTATAGCACAGGGTAAAAAAAAGTACGCTCTTGGGGGTCGATGCATTCTTCCCCCACCCTTGAACGCCTGAGGACACACCAGCACGATGTGCCTCTGTTGGAGACGCACGTCCGACCCGAACAGAATGGCACAGCATCTTCTATGTGTAGCGTGTCCTGAGCGGTCTTGCCAGGAAGCGCCCGCCACGGAGCTTGCATCAGCTTTCCGAGTGTGCGCATCGCCCCTGCGTGGCCGGCGCACGCGTGGCGGGCTCCCCGGTTGCTTCTCCGCCAGCGGAGGCGCTCTCCTCCTCCTCCTCCTCCTCCTCCTCCTCCTCCTCCTCCTCCTCCTGCTCCTCCTCCTCCTCCTCCTCCTCCTCCTCCTCCTCCTTCCACCGCCCTTCCGCCCCCCTTCGCCGAGGCAGAGGTGACGACTCCTCTCCGACCCTCGAGGGCGAGGCCCCTTCTGAAGGGCCCCACACAGTGCAGGCCATGCTTGGGGGGTGCCGGCCCCCAGCCCTCCTCCGATCAGATTTTCTCAATCCTCGGCACCAGAGGTCCCGATCGTGAACGTTCGCTCACTCGGCGTTTCGACACTGGGCCGAAGGGGGGGGAAGGGGGGGGGCAGGCTCTGGACCTCTGCTTAGTGCGACTGTTTGCAGCAGTGCGTCCTGTGGGGGGAGAGACTCCACCTGCTCGAAGCAGGCGCCAAGAACAGCCAAGATCTGCTCCACGAGGGGGGGAGGGGCGGGGTGCTGCGGCCCACGCCGATGAGCAAAACAGTGAGTAAGAAAACGATCACAGCTCCTTCCCATGGGGTGCTTTTTTCGCCCCAGGTCCACTCCTGCTGGCCCCAGGACCCGATGGTGGGCCCCGGA